CGTCTCCACTTCAGCACCACTTTCCACCCCCAGACAGATGGATAGAGCGAGAGGACGATTCAGACTCTCGAGGACATGCTTCGTGCATGTGTCTTGGATTTCGGTGGCAGTTTGGATACGTATCTTCCGTTAGCGGAATTTTCGTATAACAACAGCTATTACGCTAGTATAGACCGACCTTCCTTCGAGATGCTCTACGGGAGGAAGTGTAGGACCCCAATCTGTTGGAGTGAGGTCGGTCAGAGGGTCATGGGGTGTACGGAGGTAGTACTCAAGGCCACAGAGCGGATCCAGCAGGTCCGGAGCAGGCTTCAGACTGCTCAAACTCAACAGAAGAGTTACGCCGATAGGCGGCGTTCAGACTTGGAGTTTCAGGTGGGCGACATGGTCCTATTTAAGGTGTCACCTTGGAAAGGTGTCATCCGGTTCCGGAAGCGGGGTAAATTGGGCCCTAGGTATATCGGTCCCTTCAGGGTTATAGCCCGGGTGGGCAAGGTGGCATATCGAATGGATCTTTCGTCAGAGCTCAACCAGATCCACAGCACTTTCCATGTTTCTCAGCTGCGGAAGTGCTTTGTGGATGAGTCAGCAGTTGTACCATTAGAGGATTTTCAGTTGGATGATAGCCTGAACTACATCGAGAGACCAGTGGCTATCCTCGATATGAAGATGAAGGAGCTGAGGAAAAAGAGAGTGGAGCTGGTAAAGGTGCAGTGGCAGCACCGCAAGGGCTCAGAGTGGACCTGGGAGCCTGAGGCGGAAATGAGGGAGCACTACCCGGAGTTGTTTCCGGATGCAGCACACTTCGAGGACGAAGTCTAATTCAAGTGGGGGTGAATTGTAACGACCGTCATTTGAGGTAATTAATTATTAAATGTTTCTTAGATTATCGTTGGGCTAATTATGGATAAAAGGACTATTGGAATGGAATTAAGAAAGTGGGCCTAGAAATTGGGCCTCCCATAAGATGTACGCTGGGCGTAGCGTTGGTGTATGCGGGGCGTAGAGGCGTATTGGATGCGGGGGACGCGCGCACGTACGAGCAGCGTACCAGGAGTACGCGCAACGTACATGAGCAGATGCCAAAACCCTAATTTTTAGGGTTTAAGACATATAAATACCCCATTATAGCCACCCCTGGCATCCTCACCAGCCCCTCACCCTCAGAAACCCTAAATACCCTCTCTTACTCCATTTTTGTGTGTGTTTGGCATTTTGAAGCTTGGTTTGGTGAAGAAGAGCTTGAAAGAAGAGAAGAAAAGTTGGAGAAGAATAACTTGAGTATCTTGAGCTCAAGGATCTGGGATTATCTCATCTTTTGGCACTCAAAGGAGGTATAAAGCTTCCAACTTTACTCATAGAAGCTTAGATCTAGGTTTATAGAGCTTTGGACCTTTTTAGGTCCAAAGGTTGGATTTTATGATGCAACTTCATTTTTAGGCTTGGGGTTGCCACCCTTAGAGCTAAATGCATTCCTTTAACAATAAAGTCTCAATATTTAAGGTTCATTTGTGACCATGCATGAGATCTAGCCATTTCCATGGAAGTATGTTGCTATTTTCCAAGTTTGGGCTCATTTGGTGGGTTGCAAGCCACCAAGTAACCAACTTTATGGATTAATACGTTGAAGAGGACTTGGATCTGTGATTGTAGCCTTTAGAGTAGAGTATTAAGTGCTTAATGGGAAAAGTGGCTTAGCAGGGTAGTACGCTGGGCGTACCAGCCAGTACGCGCAGCGTACAAGCCACACAGCAGGTACGCGCTGCGTACAGAGGAGTACGCCCCGCTTACTCAACAGAGTTGGGCTTTTCATCTTTTGGGCCTCGGTTTGGGCCAACTATTGGACTTATCAGCTATTGGGTCTTAGTGGGCCATCAGAAGTCTGATTTTGGACTAAGGACATATTTAGGCTTGGGAAGGCCCATTTGAGAAGTTGGGCCCAATTTAGAAAATTGGGCCATTAATGGGCCCTTAGTGGGCCATTAGTGAACTTAGAAAGATTAGTTGGAATTAGGCCCTGGATATAGTCCAAAATTTAGAGCAGGGGTAAAATGGTAATTTTACCCTTAGAAGGATTCTCAGTTTTCTGATTAAGTATTATTGTATAGAGTTAGCCGGGGAGTGGTAGGAGCAGCCAGCAGAGATTTCTCACGTTTGACATCCAGTTTGAGAGGTGGGTTTCCTTCAGTAGGAACGGGTCTACGACACCAAGGTCGGCCCATAGTATGATATGTTAGTAGTTGAGTGTCGGGGAGGCTCGTATCTCATATTAGCCGAGTGTGGGCGGGGCCCATATCTCATAGCTTAGTTTGATTATGGATATATGCATGATGGATAGATTTAGTTATACTTGCGGTTTGTGTGATACTTGTATGAATGTTTAGTAGCTGAGTGTGGGCGGGGTCTATATCTCATAGTAGCTGAGTGTGGGCGAGGCCCGTATCTCATAGTAGCTGAGTATGGGCGGGGCCCGTATCTCGTAGTAATTAAGTGTGGGCAGGGCCCGTATCTTAGAGTCAGCGGAGCGTGGGCGGGGCTCGTATCTCCCAGTTAGCGGAGTTTGGGCGCGGCCCGTATCTCCATGAGTGTGGGCGTGGACCGTATCTCTTAGTTGCATGTTGTATGTGTATGGTATGTGGTAGTTTGGGGGGAGTCACTAAGCTTCATGCTTACAGTTTTCAGTTTTGGTTTCAGGTACTTCCACTAGCAAAGGGAAGGGCTCGGGATGATTGCATGGCCTACACCACAGTTTCAGCCTGGGATTGTTTTAGACTCTAATATTTTCTCACGTGATTTTGATACAGTGTTTGACATGATGTTTTGAGATACGTCGTTCTTGATTTTCTTTATGATGATGGATGGTTTATGGTTTTATTATAAGTTTTAAAATGAAATTTCTGGACTGTGTTTTTGGGATGCTACAACAAAAAAGCAAAATTCACTGGATCGAGTGGCAAAAAATAACAGCTCCCATCTCAGAAGGCAGACTAGGGGCCTCAACTCTAAAAGCACAAAATCTGGCACTTTTGATCAAATGGTGGTGGCGCCTTATGAACGAAAATGAAAGCCTCTGGAAAGCAGTCATTGTAAGCATACATAATTTTTCAAAGAAACCTGTGCATTATATTGCTAGGAAGACTTCCGTTGGGGTGTGGTGTAATATCTATAAAGCAGTCATGGCCTTGGAAGGTATAGGTATTGATAATCATCATATATTCATTCTTATCCCCGGATCTGATACTCCAATTCTCTTCTGGAAAGACATTTGGTGTGGAACAACAACATTTCAGAAAAAAATTCCACATCTCTATAAGATTAAATCAGTTAAAAACTGCTCACTTGCGGATCATCTTTCTGAATTTGGTTTCTCTTGGTGTTGGAAGCACGAGCCATCCAACTTGGTGGAATTTTATGAGCTGCTCCAGTTATATACAGACATTGGCGACTTGAACATCAATAGGGCATCATCTCCATATGGTTTTCAATTCAACAATGCAATCGATGGTGGTTATAAGGTAAATGACATGAGGCGACTAATTGACTCGAAATTGATTTTGTCCAAGGGCCTAAGATCTGTTAGTAAAAAACAATCCCGCTAAAAGTCTGATGTTTTGTATGGCGGGCTTCGATGGGTGGGATTCCAGTTGCAGATACCCTAATGGTGAGAGGAATAAACGTTCCTAATCAGACGTGCCCTTTTTGCAACATAGAAGTCGAATCTGTGAACCATCTTTTTCTTCAGTGTGAGTTTACTCAAACTGTACACTCTTGGATTTTCAAATGACTTGGATTGGGAAACATGAGGTGTTCGTGTATCTTGGAATTCCTAAACTGAGGTGACGGAAGGCACAACTGTCATCCAAAGGAAGCGATTGGTAGTGTTATATTTTATTGCACGATCTGGAGCATCTGGAACGCTAGAAATGAATGGATTTTTAAGAATATTCGAGTCTCTCCAACAAAGATTGTGGATGTCATTATGGCTAGCTCATACTCATGGTGCAGACATAGGAGTAAAAATGGTTGTGGTGACCGGGCAAATTGGATTTGCTCTCCTTTTTCTCATTTATCCTTGTAACTGCATTTTGTTTCTTTTTGCTTCTTTTTCGTTTAAAATTTATGTACTGTTTCCTGTCGCGATTGAGTTGCTTGCTAATTGTTAACCTTTAATGATATTTTCCGTTTCAAAAATAAAAGTCAATTTGATGGTTTAAAATTTTCCGACGGAATAACCACAAATGAGATTTTGTCAATAATCCACCACTAATCCCGCCATGAGTGTAATTAGCTCTTTAAAACTTGTGAAAATTTTTATTGTCCATCGCTGAATGTGCTTAAGGTGTAGTGTTGACAATATTAGGATTACATAGCATTAAAATGTAGTAGGGTATGTAACTAAAAACTGTTAATATTTTACCAAAATATATATATAAATTATATTTCATATATGTTTTAGTTACTAGTGACAGATTGATCAATGTATGTATTTGGGCATGTAATTGGTATATATTGACTGGAATTTATTTCTTATTAATATAGAGAAAAGCATATAATATAACTAAAATGATGATATATTTGATGGTGAAACTTATAATAACCAAAGATTTGGCATAGATTTCCTAGTAAGAATTGGTGTACGAGGTGACCTGATATGTGTTTCAAAAAATCCTCGTTTAGATCAAAGTATTTTAGTCAATGTGGCATAGAGTTTACTTAAGTCCTTTTAAATGTGAGTCATGGAGGTGACCACATGTGATTCAAAAGTCCTTCTAATTTTAAATGTCATTCAAAAAGCCGGCCTTTAATTAAAAATGATCAGATATCCCTAAACATAAGCATTTGAAATTCAACTTTCACAAAACTAATGCATTTCTATTATAACATATATTTTTTTGGAATCGATAATTAACACATAACTATGATCACATAAATGCAACAAAAATATTTAGTGATTCACCAAGAAGTTTTCTAAACCATCCAACATATTCAACAAGACATAAATGGATGTTTATCCCATCCATGTCTTATTCTCCATTGCCATATTCTTTTTATTGTCAAGTTCTGCTGCGGTCGATACACTATCTGCAAACCAACGAATCCAAGATGGCAACACCATTATTTCAGATGGTGGGATGTATGAACTAGGATTTTTTAGCCCCGGAATGTCCAAGAATCGTTACCTGGGGATATGGTACAAGAAGATTTCAACTGGTACAGTTGTGTGGATTGCTAATAGGGAGACACCAATCGGTGATACATCTGGGGTGTTTGAAGTCAGTAGAGAAGGAAACCTGTTGATTCACAGTGGTGATAATACCTTGATCTGGTCATCCAACTCGACTGTATCTGTCGGGAATAATAATCCCGTGGCACAGCTTCTGGACACCGGAAATCTTGTCCTGTGGAATGAAAGTTGCAGCAAAGAAAATCCGATCTGGGAAAGTTTTGACTATCCTGGTAACACATTACTACCAGGAATGAAATTCGGGAAAGATTTGGTAACAGGAAGAGAGAGATATTTAACATCTTGGAAAAGCCTTGATGATCCTTCTACAGGTCTTTATAAACACTATTTAGACACAAATGGGTATCCACAGCTATTTGAAGAAAAAGGTCGGGTTAAACATGCAAGGCATGGACCATGGAATGGTCTTGGGTTTAGCGGTTTTCCTACGGAAAACACAAATCCAATTTAGTCCGTAGAGTTTGTTGTCAACGACATGGAAGTTTATTATAGATATAAACTTAAGAGTTCAGTTGTTCAAAGAATAATAGTGATGTGGGATGGCATCATACTGCAGTTAAATTGGATTGAGCGAACCCAAGAATGGGTCATGTATAGAAACATAGTAATTGATAATTGTAGTCGTTATGGACCCTGTGGTCCTTATGGGAGCTGCCAACCCAAAGGAAATCCTCCTTGCAGTTGTATGAATGGTTTTGAACCAAGAGTTCCAAAAGAATGGAATGTAGGAGATTGGTCGAGTGGGTGTCAACGTAAAAAGCCTTTGGATTGTGGGACTTTGCATGATGGCTTCCAGAAAATTTCAGGAGTGAAATTCCCAGACACACGAAGATCATGCTACAATATGAGCATGTCCCTTGTAGAATGTGAGATGGCCTGCATAAGGAATTGCTCGTGTACAGCTTATGCAGATTTAGATATCAGAAACGGGGGAAGTGGATGTTTGCTATGGTTTGATGAGCTGATGGACACCAGAGAGTATGATGGCCATCAACAACTTCACATAAGAATGGCAACCTCTGATCAGTTAGTTTATCGGTTACCAGGTACACATTTTTATCTATCTATATAATAACATCTCCAATGTAACTTTTTGTTATTGTGTAGCTTTTTTATCATTTGTATCTCATTGGTTTGTATGCATTTAGTTTTTGATACTTTAACCATTATATTTGAATTGCAACATCATTTACTATTGTATCATTAGCAGAGAGCAAATCCAGCTTCAACCTGAAGAACAGATTACTCACTTTGGTGCTGTCAGTTTTGTCAGCTGCAGTGCTTCTATCTGCGGTGGCATATGCCTGTAGAAAGACGAAAAAAAGGCTTCATAGGAATGGACGAGGTAACAGCACAAGTCTGTTTTTTATGTTTCCTAAAATGAAATATTAACAAGAAGCGTTAACTATACAACTTTCCGAGTATGACTTTTTAGAGGTTAATGTATATTCAAGAGAAATTGAAAATGAATATATCATTTGGTAGGAAACTACTGGGCGCATATCCTTGATAAGGATCACACCAGTGTTCAGATGGAAGACCTTGATGAGCTACCTTTTCTTGGCCTGCAAAAAATATCTAAGGCTACAGATAACTTCAGCATTGATAATAAGATTGGAGAAGGTGGCTATGGTCCAGTTTATAGGGTAACAATTAAATGCAATATTTGTCAGCATATCATGAAAAAGATATAACTTTACATGAAAATATTTAGGATCATAAGCTTTGATATTTATCTTTTAGGGTGTGTTGGAAGACGGATAAGTAATAGCTGTAAAGCGGCTCTCAGAAACATCCAACCAAGGGCTTGATGAGTTCAGGAATGAAGTCATTTGTATTGCCAAACTTCAGCACCGAAATCTTGTGAAGCTCCTTGGATACTGCATTCAAGGAAATGAGAAGATTCTGGTGTATGAATACATGGAAAACAAAAGCTTGGACTCGTTTATATTTGGTTTGACTCTCTCTAGCTAGCTAGTGCTTTACCTTCTAACTTCTTTTTAAAAACCGGTGTTAAATTATGTTGGCAAATTTTCATATATCGGACAGATGACACCACAACTTCCATGCTTGACTGGCCTCAGTGCTTGAACATTATCCATGGTCTGGCTAGAGGTATTCTTTATTTACATCAAGATTCCCGCCTCCAAATCATCCATAGGGATCTCAAGCCAGGTAATATCTTGTTAGATCGTGAAATGAATCCAAAAATATCTGATTTTGGTCTTGCTCGAAAGTTTGATGGAAATGATGCCATGGACGTGACAAAGAAGGTGGTTGGAACATAGTAAGAATCTATAAAACATTGTGAAGTTTATTAATGTTAACATGCCTTTCACAAGAAAGGAGGAAAATACAAACAAACAAGAAACTTTATTTCTAATATGTGTTTACTAATTGACCTTGGTTGCAGTGGTTACATTCCTCCCGAGTATGCAGTACATGGGCGTTTCTCGATAAAGTCAGATGTATTTAGCTTTGGTGTAATTGTTTTGGAGATTGTGAGTGGGAAGAAAAACCAAGGGTTCTCTCATGAAGCTCATAGTGAAAACCTTCTTGGACATGTAAGTTAAGTTGGTAGACTAATGCCTACTATCTGGACTAGAAACTAGTGTTTTCTTTAACATCAACTTCAGAATACTCATATGAAGTTTGGTGTCATTCAGGCATATAGACTCTATAAAGAAGACAAGTCCATCAAACTTATGAGTGCATCTTTACAAAAATCATGTGTTGTCTCTGAAGTACTACGATCAATACATGTTGCATTATTGTGTGTGCAACATCATGCAGCAGACAGGCCAACTATGTTATCAGTTGTATTGATGCTGATTAGTGATGGTGAATTGCCTCCACCTAAACAACCAGCTTTTTTCTTGGAAGAAAGTTACCGTGAAGATGAATCAGTTTCATCGCTCCAAGATTACATGATAACACTACTGTATGCTAGATAGAAAGCATATGCCTATATGCCAAATGTACATATACATGTTGTCCAAGTTTTTTCTGTAAATCAGTTCACTTGACGGCTTTATGTTTTCAATCACTTTGTAGTAATATTTTGACCAGTGTATCATGAATTTCTTTTTCAGCATGCAACATAACCAAATAAAACTTTGAACTTTCTGATAGACGTCAAGATAAATTTTACATATTTGGGACGCTACACCGCTAATTTATGTGATCTTATGGATTGCAAAACAATCGCACCAGCACATCTTCATATCAAGCGGACATCAACATATAGATGACTATTTGTCAAATGTCCACACTTTTAGTTGAGAAGATGTCCCTTGGTATACGTCAGTCTCACAAGTTGTGAAATAACTCTTCAGTTCACTTTCCTTGTTAACTAAAAAACTCAGACATTTTACCATTTCAATTATTTATAACGTATAATTAACTGTGGTTAGTGGTCAGTGTGAGCGACCACATATGTTAGGGCCTGAAATTCCGAGGATTTACCTATTAATCTTCATATATATGCAAGTTGTGTTTTATTTAGTCCATAAAAGTAGTGTAGCTAGAATGGCTTGGGCGCTTCCCTTCGATTTAATCCACGGAGGTTTGATTCTTGTTTCATCCTCGCTTTTTTTAATTTTTTCTCCTCTACTAAAAAAATGCATTTTGGGACCAATTTTTATTTGCACAGTGCCTTCAAAATCAATGCACCGGTTCTCTTTCATATACTAAAGATAAAAAGAATATATAGTTTAAATGTACATAGAGTGGGAATACTAACTAAACCTTCAATATACTTGGGTCTTTTCTTTTGCTAGAAACTAAAGTAGAATGGAAGTAAATCCAAGCGCTTTATGTCATTGCACACACAAGGTTTTCTTGAGAATGAATAGTATAAATATGAGATAGGCAATGGTTCGTCCATGGAGGGTTTTTTAAAATATATATTTGCTACTACAACTTAGACACACATGTTGCAAATCAATCCATTGGAGATGGTCGCACCCAACGTCCATCGCCACTTCATCATAACGAGGAATAACATTGATTTGATGTCTGCCACTCCACATCCCTCTTTATTCGAAGATTTAGTTTTCTTATTGTAATGGGCAAGAGGATGTATCATCGAGGAGACACGCGTAGATGTGGGTTGCAAGTGATCTAACAATGGAAGTAGTATTGTAACAAAATCATTTATTCGCCTCAATTGATTTTTCACCCTTTTGCTTTTCCATTTCAAGAGGGTCTCATTCATGGTCGCGTGCTGGTCTATATCGTTTTGAACTTTAACATTTTCGTGTTATGTGGTATGGTGTGCCTTGTTTGGGGCATTTATGTCCCCGAGTTCTTTTAGCTTATTCTTGTTCTTTGGGCTTTAACTTTCGAATATACTCGGTCCATGATTGTTCTTCAAGGGTATCATGTCTTGGATTTGTTTCTTGCATTTCATGAGTTGTCTGTGGTGTTTCCTCATGTTTATTGATCACCTATGTGTTATTTGTTTGTCGAGATCTTGGGAAAGGAATAGGATTGTGATACATTCCCTATCCTCATCAAACTCAACCAGGATTTCATATAGAAATAGAGGACTTGTGATCAATGAGAGAATGCAACTTAATTTACTCTACACAAAATTAAATTATATCAGTCAAGATATAGTTACTATGGGACGGAATTATGATGAAAAAAACATTAGAAAATAAGGAGAAGTATGGTGAGATTATAATCAAAATTCTTGGGTATCATTGTGGATCGTGTAAAGTCACTTAACTTGATCTATATTTCAGGCCTAGCTATGGGTGTCCCAAAATCATATGCAAAATAATCCATAAGAAAGCACTTCAAGTCTTAACCCCAAGAATAGGAATCAAATAGTAAATACATGTATGGGATTTTCAAGATCTTGGCAGAGCCCAAAACAATTTATATACTTCGTGTATATATACTGCAGTACTCGTAATTGGACAAGCATGACGAAATTAGCAATTTTCTAGAAGTTACAAAATAATTGAATAGTTATAGCCGATTCCAATTATGGTTAGTCTCAGTGCAAGTATTGTTGGCTCTGTCAGCTTCAAAATGACTTTGGTCAACAATTCATGATGACTACGTGCAATCCTAACACATCAGCTCTAAAACAACATGTTGCTTACTTTTGTCTATTTTTTCCCATTTTATTGGTCGCTAGAGAATTTATTTGAGTTTTGGGACCACTACAAATCTAACACCCCGCTTTTAAATATAAAGGTACACCCAAAAATTATAACTACATTTTTCTACACAATGTACTTATTGTAATGTAAAATGACTAAGAAGTATATAGCATCACATGTCAACCCAATAAAATACATATTTACAAAGAATAAGTCGGGTATTACTATAACCCTTACATTCAAACGATCTATAAAAGATGCCATTTATTCATGTAATAAATTAGACGTCACTTGTCAAGAATCAGAACAAATCTGATGACACTTACCAAGCTCTGATACCACTTGTTAGGAAGTAAATTAGATAGCTCACTAAACCACACGCACACACACATATAAGGACAAAGTATTTACGTATTTCAATTAAGGTGACCTGTGTGTCAACAGGCAGTAAGGAGTATGCTTATTCAGGAGTTCTCAAACAGAGATTGCAAGTACAATTCAACAAATATTCGTCCTACTCACTATAATTCAAGATACTCAAAGATACCAAATGAGTGACTAGCATACATCCCTATTTATAGACTATGGATCCAACCTAAAACCCTAATGAGCCAACACCATTAGTCCATAGGTCAATAAAGGTGTCAACAAATCATATGTCGTCATGCATATGCTTCTAGAACCTTCATCCTTGAGAGATGTGCACGGCCACCAACCATACACCTAGTACGCCATCACCATGCTAGAAGCACCTTCTCACCAAGATCACCTTTAGAACCAAGTAGAAACTTTTTACAACTATGAGCACCATTAGAACAAGAGAACGCATTTTTGTACATCCAGGAGCATCGTTGCACAAAGAGAGCATATATGTACAACCAGAAGAACCTTTAGACCAAGAGAGCATCTTTGCATAACCATGAGCACCTTTGCGCAACCAGGTGTACTTTTATGTCAGAATGTTTTATCTTATGTCAGAATGCTTTAGTGTGATCCTAAATGCTCCAACTTGGATTCCAAATGCTCAAGTCATATTTAAAAATTCATAATCTTGTGAACTAAGGAGCTAAACCTTCTCTTTACCCTTAGTGATTGTGCATGCATCTGAAATCTTAGCTACATAGTAACAATGAGAAAAAATAGATTAGTGGGAAACAACTTTCAATTCCTTATACAACCCACACATTATGTGCATATATGTCACACCCCCGGTCGAGGCGGTGGAACACGTCGGGCTGTGCGACGAAGTTCATGGATTACATGTAAACTGAATATATAGCACAAGTACAACAATAAACAAAATAGCATTCGTGTTCCATCTTGATATTTGAATACAAGGTTTTTACAGAAAATAATAGTAGATGAATTGCCTTAACAGATAGGCAGATATTACAGCAGCTAGTAAATTATGTCACATGTAATTCAATCCATCTTGAATATCTGTGTAGTGATTTCCTGAGAATACATGTAATTTTGAGGGTCAACACAAGGTTGGTGAGACTTACATGTTTTTTCTATCAACAGTAATACTTTTAAAAAGTCTAAAAAGTATTTTCTTTGTTAGTATAACAATAGTTAACACTGTGTGTGCAAAGAGTCTTTGAAAGACATAATGTATCTTTGTATAAGTAAATCCATACTTAAAATTGCGCTTGTAAAGAATCCTTGAATATAGTTGAAAACCAAACTGTACTGTTACATAACTAATTCCATACTTAAAATAGTTTTGAAAGAAACCAAGCCCATGGTTTGTAGTGAGAGAGAGAGAGAGAGAGATTTCAGTTAATGTTTATACTGAGTCCTATAACCGAGCTATGTGACTAAATGTAACCCCCTATAACGCTTCATTGGACGTTGTAGTAACAATTGTTGACACTTATCACCCGCTTTAATTGATCAGTCAAGGTTGTAGCTAGGAACCGCATGTGGGGATGTCATCCCCGTATAGATCTATACATATGTATCCCACTCCGAAGATTGACGATTATAGTAGTGTGGGTATACTAAGTGTTTAGACTCAGCTGATGGATATAGTCTCACTAAAAAGCCCTTAACTAAAGTATGTTAATAGCTCTCAGCCCTAACTTATTAGGTGGATCCAACCTAAAACCCTATTGAGCCAACCCCATTAGTCCATAGGTCAATAAAGGTGTCAACCAATCATATATCGTCATGCATATGCTTCTAGAACCTTCATCCTTGAGAGATGTGCACGACCACCAACCATACACCTAGTACGCCATCACCATGCTAGAAGCACCTTCTCACCAAGATCACCTTTAGAATCAAGTAGAAACTTTTTACAACCATGAGCACCTTTGGAACAAGAGAACACATTTTTGTACATCCAGGAGCATCGTTGCAAAAAGAGAGCATATATGTACAACCAGGAGAACCTTTAGACCAAGAGAGCATCTTTTCAAAACCATGAGCACCTTTGCACAACCAGGAGTACTTTTATGTCAGAATGTTCTATCTTATGTCAGAATGCTTCAGTGTGATCCTAAATGCTCCAACTTTGATTCCAAATGCTCAAGTCATATTTAAAAATTCACAATCTTGTGAACTAAGGAGCTAAACATTCTCTTTAACCTTGGTGATTGTGCATGCACCTGAAATCTTAGCAACATAGTAACAATGAGAAAAAATATATTAGTGGGAAACAACTTTCAATTCCTTATACAACCCACACATTATGTGCATATATGTCACACCCCCGGTCGAGGCGGTGGAACACGCCGGGCTGTGCGACGAAGTTCATGGTTTACATGTAAACTGAATATATAGCACAAGTACAACAATAAACAAAATAGCATTCGTGTTCCATCTTGATATTTGAA